CGGTAATCAAAAAGCAGGGATCGTACTACCTACTCAATACGCGTATGTCGTTTTCTACAGAACACAAGAAGATGACCAGTTTTCGCTGGGAAAAATCAAGCGTTTTCGATAGCACGGGGGTCAAACGATTTCTCACAAATCCACTATATGGGCGCCCTTGCAACCAATGTATTAGGTTAAGCTGGGAAACGAAAAAGTGAAACTGACTTGCGAAAAATGATCAACATCATTGAAGAATTCTTGAAAATTGAAAAGAACAAAAAAACTTCTTTTTCTCACATGCGCAGCCATCCGAAAAAAGGAACAAAAAGCAAAAACGACATTTAATGAATTCTGATCGTTTCGATTTCTGTTCCCACTTAGTCAGACAGAATTATATTATAGTCAGATACTACGCAAATAGAATACACTATTTTTCTAATGTTTTCCAGTTTTCTAATGCATACATAAGCTGTTGCGCAATAGGCTCTATGAACAATTGGAAGTTTCGTTTCTTTTTTACTCTTTCAAGTCATATTCAACCTATATTGATGACTTGCGAGTTTTGTCGGATTTATAGTACTATTGTGTCAGTGGCTTTTAGTTTTCTTTGGACGAAAACTATATGCCTCTTTTCTCCTCTTTTTTATTAAAAATCCTTTTTTTCAAGAATGCTGAGCCACTTTTTTTTTCCTTTTTTTTTACAAAGTGTTGGCGGGATGCTAGTGTGTTTTACCTGCTATTTTAGAATGGTCATCGAGGAACGCTCAATATTTATTCTTTCGAGATGTTCCTTTCGACGATTCTGATATTCGAGATTTTTCCTTTCTGGAGTTTTTGAAATTTTTTCGAGATTTTGAGACATTTCTGTAATTATGTGTGCATTATTCTACTGGTATTTTCACATTTGTTCATTTACCGATATAAAGAAAGTAGGCACAAATATTTTATAATGATATGACAAGAACCAAAAAGCAAAACAAATCGAATATGCCATACAAAATGTTTACGACCTGTCGGCATAACTTTTGGCAACATGCCTACATTTTTCTGCCGAGAAAACTTCGTGTTGACAATTCTTGGTTATTTAAGAAATAATTATGAAACTCTGTACAATCGGAATGACCGTTCATTCTAACTCTCAATTCTGCATCAACAAAATGATTTGTGGTTCGATTTCTATTATCATTTTATAAAAATTTCAGATGAATGAAAATTCACTCTCAACACACATTGGAGATAGGTACGGCAAAGAGATAACGGGGCTAATTTTTGTGCATTAGGCACATTTTCACTACCAAGAAGATAAGCTAGGAGATTATCACCTCTACATTTAACAGTGCTCTTTCTCTTCTACGCTTTTTTACCGATTCAAAATGTCGCTAAAACCGAAGCCATTAAAAATTTGAAAATCAGTAGAAATCAGGAGAAAATCCTCACAATCAGCTTCTGAATTCAGGAGAATTTTTATCAGGAGAAAAGTTTGAAAATCAGGAGACTCCTGGCCAAATCAGGAGGTTTGGCAACCCTGAATGACACAGTCACGTCTACATTACTTCTATCATTCAAAAACTGGAGTATGCGATTCAATAAATAAGATGACCTGTAATACTGAACTTGTATTGTATAAATTGTTTTTCTCGCTCCTCTATATTTCATTGAATAGAGCACGAAAAGGTGGCCAGAGATCTATTAGTTGTAAATTGATTGATACATGTTTTAGGAAAAAAGCAAAAGATGAGGCAGATATGAAAAACAATTTAAAACAGTTACAATTCAGTTTTGTTAGAAATTTTCAACTTTTTGTTACTTACATCCAGAATTTTTTTCAATAGGACTAGATCCCTTTCGCATCTGCTATACTTTCACCAAAGGGACTGATTTTTTCACTGCTAATAGAGGAATGTTCATAGCTCATACTTATAAGAGAAACGTCGATAAAGATTGTGTTGAAGTGCTATACTTGCTACAAATAAACAAATGAAACCTTTTACGAATTATGAGAAAGTAATATTCATGTCACTGCAAATGGGATATACTTATTCAGCATAAAAACATGAGTTTGAATTGTAAGTGTTGTCTGGCATGGAGCTGTTGAATATAACACCCCTTGAAACATGCTTCTGTGGTATCCATACACAATTTTGTAAACTTTTCTAGTTTATTGTATGAAAAAATAGGACTCAGCGTCATATCTCATTAAAATCCTTAGATATTGACCTGCAAACTTTTACATAATACCATTAATTATTTACCGAATGTATAAGACGTTGATAGTAATAAAACAACCATTTTTTTTAGTTCAACATTATTAAACAAGCTATGCATTGTTTGTGGCAATGTTCACACAGCTTTGCGTTGATATCCTAGTTGTGCCTTGTTCATAATACGCAATGGCGAAAAGCAACAGATTCGTAAAGTAGAAAAAATTCCTCGACCATAGAGAATGTTTGACTGCCTTGGAGAACTTTGAAGTTCTTTGGTGTCCGGTGATCTGCTGTCGTGCTCGTGAGACAATTTCATTTTTCGAAAATCTGAACACTATTCTCTTAACATAAAAAATGTAGCCCTACACCCAATAATTCATCAAATACAATTGCAGTTTACACATATCTCCAGCGAACATACAGATTTCTCACACTGAACACTTCTAGAAAATATAGAATTTCACCTCTCTGAAAATTACATAGAAATCCGCAATAGGTTTCGACAAAAGTCATTTTTTTTTCTGCAATGACGTCCTCATCGACTATTAAAAAACATTGAACTTGATCAGTTGATTCGATTCCAAAAATCTAGCTCGAATTTCGATTTTAGCCAGCGACAAAATCGAAATCGAAAACACCGATAATAGCCAAAAAAAAGGTGATGTATATAACGCCCGTTCATAGCCTATCCTCACACGATTCAAGACACAATCTCACACAAAAACACACACAATGAAAGAATTTTTGATTGAATACATGATGATATCATTCTAAAATCATTTATCTATCATTCGATTCCAAACGAATCTGATCCCGAAAAAAAAATCAAGTATTTCGGAACTCATTGATTATAGGATAAGTTATCATATCCTCTAATCATTATTCAACCCAACAAATATTCCATGATGGTAGAATATGTCGTGTATTTTGGAATGAAATAATCGTAAGGTGAGTTATGAAATCATCTAATTATCATTCAATGTCACAAGAATTCCATGTGGA